GTGAGTGAGTGAGTGAGTGAGTGAGTGAGGACTGGTGCGGTTGAGTGGTTGTGAACTGTTGCTGTGAGAAGTTGGTAAATAAGGCCCAGGTCAGTCCGGGAACCCAGAGGAAGGGGAACGCCCGCCGCTGAAGCCGTTACCAAGCAACGGCAGTGAAGACGTGACTGTGGACATCGGTGTGGGTGTAACAGTGAACTGTAAAGTGTAGTCACGTGCTGTATCAAGACTGCTCAGTCTTCCCGCCCTGCTAAAAGTCTGCTGGATCATACTCGCTGTACCTTTCAACCCACGTACCCTTCGGCAGATTCAGATGACACGTGAGAAATTCCGACAGAGATGCTGTCAGATACCGATAACTATAACGCTGAGACCTAAAAGTCTGTGACGATGGTATATTAATACAATTATTGACTTTTGGACACTATCCATGTCCCGTCATTTAAAAACGTTCTGGACACTGTACTCACTCTCCGTCCTCAGGTAAAAGCCTACTCAGTTCGACTCCGAGATAGGAACTAGCTCTATCGATTGGGCCCAGCTGAGTAAGTTTTTACCCGAGGACGGAGACATAGTCCAGTCTCCGGAACGTTATTTTTAAGCAAAGAACAGTACGATGGACATGTCCAAAAAGTTAATAACAACAACTCCGTGGTTTTAGTCCGCAAGCGAACGATACTGACTGAGCGACCGCCACTTGTCGGCGAAGTTAGTGCCAACTTTAACGGACAGAGGGTGTCACGTGGTCAGCACAACGAATCCCCACGGCGGTTAATTTCGGTTCTCTAGACCGGAATCCAAAAAGTTAATAATAATATTAATCATGGCTCTGCTTGTTAAGACCTGACTGTACCTACACAGACTCGCTGAATAAATTTTCCATAAATCTTCAGGATGTTAATGGCGAATATACGGGTGAGTGGGTAATACCTGAACAATGTGGTGATATTTAAGAACTTAAAAAGTATATACCACGATATATAACGCTGTAAGGGCCCATTCTCTCTCGTAATTCAGCTGCGGATATGACTACCATTTCCAAATGCGTGTTTCTATTTATGTTTAGTAGTTTAGATACTGAAATGGATACAAATCAATATGCACTTCGCACTCCTGTCTGAAAGACTGCAAATCGAATCTCTAATGTCAATTTTATACTCCAATTATTGTTCACTTCTTCTGCTGTCGGTATCAGGATTAGCTTTAGCTTTATTAATTTCAATGCTTACTAATACTAATGGATATATCATTTTGGGCGGGGGGCAGCGATGGACTACGTGCTGGACGCCCGGGTTTCGATTCCCGGCAGGTGCATGAGGTTTTTCTCTTCTCCGCAACATACAGATCGACTCTGGAGCCCACCCAGCCTCCTAGCCAATGGGCAAAGTCTATTCCTGTAACAGGCCATGGAGGCCCATAGGGTTGCGAGACGTTGAGGGTCCCACATTATCTACAATCGGCTCAGAGATGGCGGTAAGGTTGTCAGCCTTACGCGTCGGCCGCCCTATA